TCAATTTGCATGTGCCGATCCCTTTAACATCCACTTTTGAATTGTTACCTACATATATCCATTTTGTTTCCCGTAGTATTCGTCGAAATTCCACAAAAGCACTCATGTCTTTCGCTATGCGGTCTGTTGTTGCTGAATCTACCGTCCACAAAGGATGAGATTCAGTTAGAAAAACAGAACTGGAAACATTATATAACTTACTTGTGCAAACAAGTAATTTACCTTCTTCGGCTCACTACAATCGCAAGCAAAATGTCCCTTGTTACCACAGTTATAGCATTTCACCTTTGCCATATTTCTCTTCTTGGCAGGATGCTTTCCTTTCCTGTATTTAAAAATTTTTCTCTTCTTCCCTAGAGCCTTATCAGTATTGCCTTTTCTTTGGGATCCACCTTGGAATTTACGTTTAAATCCATTCCCACCATGTGAACTGGAACCAGCCATATACACATCAGTATTTGCCTTACTCGCATTAAGGCGATCTTCTTCCAGTTCCAAATAGTGTATGGCATCTTCTAAATTTCTGATGCCCTCATTGTGGGTAAGGTGTATTTTCATATGTTCCCAATTTTGAGACAATGATCTTATGATAGCTTGAACCTGTTGTTCATCAGTTAGGACATGACCTGTATCTCTTAACTCACTTATCATGTTTGACAAATGCTGTAAATGTACTCTCATAGTATGTTCAAGCTTCTTTTTATATGTGTCAAACTTGATAGTGAGTAACCGGAGTTTGGTAATGGACGTACCGCCAAACTTTGTAACAAGGGCGGACCACATGTCCTTTGCTAACTCGTAATCCCTGTACTTTTTCATGAGATCATTGTCCATGCTGCTCAACAAAGTGATGCGAGCAGTGGAATTCTTCTTCTTCTTCCATATGTCATAAGTTGCACGGTCTCGTCTATGTTGAGTCGTGACTCCTTCTTCAGACTCTTCCATGGTTGTAGTAAAAGCTTCAAGAACCTCTTGTTCTTCCAAAACATATTGGATTTTCATGCTCCATATCTCATAATTGTCACCGTTAATTTTTTCTCCTTTATTAAGTTCGGCGACAATGTTCTTAGATGCATATGCCATTTCTAAAAAAAATTACACGTGGATAATGCATGTTATTTAATACTAGGAACATACATATACATTTAATTAATTATATCAATAATAATTGTATATTAGATTTGGAATCAAAAGTTAACAATGTCACAATCATCATCCAAAATTCCAATTTCCAATTATCATAGATATAATTAATTGCAATTATAAAATTATATTTAGACACAATCATATAAATATAATTCAACATAAATTCACATAAAATTTTAATAAAATAAATAAATAAATAAATAAAACTAATTCCATTATGTAAATAGAATTCAACATGTAATGAAATTAAACAAACAATGTCCCAAAAAAAAATTAAGTGTATTTACACATTCTTAAAACTGGGAAGGATCTGATAATCCTTATCCTAAGGTCTTTATCTAACTTGTAATTAACCCTAGGCAAGGGAACTCCCAGTTTCTTGTGATGTCCTTTACGAGTGGAGACTCCTATAGATGCACCAACTGTCTTTTTGGCACCTCAATCTATGTACTCCTTGATGTAGTTGTTGACTAAACGTCTATAATTTTTATTGTCATCTTTAAATTTTTGAATTTTCAGCTTGTTCCAAACCATATCAAGGAGACCAACTACATTAGGGTAACCAAGAGTCTCTCTTAGGACTTTGTATTTTGACTCATCTTCCTTTAATCCCCCTATCCAGATAATTTCCTAAATCTTTTCATTCACATGAATGAAATGATTTACGAGTTGCACCAACTTATCCTTTGTGTCTCTTAATATCAATGTGTGAGTTTGTAGAGTTCTAATCATGTTCATAACCCTTTCCTTTTGAGCGGGTGTTCTAGCAACCATTGCACATTTATAACGTAACATTTTTCTGTAACAAATACAAAAAAAAAAAAAACTATTTATTTATCAAATAAAGGTTGACTATATTTGATAAATAATATATATACGTGTTTATGGCTTAATAACAAAAATTAGACTCATAACAATATACCAAGTGTGCATTTTATTCTTTACAGCAAAACAAAAAAAATTTAGAATACTTCACGCGCCCCCACGTGCCGCCCAGAGAAGCCACGCGCCCTCACGCCCTGGCGGGAGCTCCCACGGCCTCCCACAGATTCGGGTCAGGTCAACTCGTTTCACATTTAACCGGGTCAATCTTGACCCGATTTTGACCTGTTGACTTGTTTGACTTCACTGGTCAGGTGTTGACTGGGTTTGACTAACCCGTTTAGTCTTATGGGTCAGGCGTTGACTGGGTTTGACTGACCCGTCTGACCTTATGTGTCGGGTTTGACTAACCCGTTTGGTCATATGGGTCGGGTCTGTGGGTCCACTTGACCCATTTTTATTTTGGTTAGTGGGTTGGGCTGGAAAGGAATATATTGGGTTTGTCAGTATATTTAACACAAAACAAAAATAGCCCAATGGTTAGGGAATTGGGCTTTTATCCTTGGAGATTTGGGTTTAAGTCTCACCAACCACGCCTGTTTGCATGATTTTTTATTAAAATGAAATAAAATAAAACGACTTGCCATTTATAAGGTTGGATTCAAAACGACATGTCGGTCCTTGTCGTCTTCAACCTCTGTCTAGGTCTGCAACTGAATACCCGACCTGGAAATCAACCCATACGAAACACGAAACTTTAAAGAGGCATATCTAAGTCATTTTAACTCCATTTTTTATGATTCGAAAGCCATTTTCTTCATAATTTCATAAGGAATCTAATAGTGTAATTATTATAACCGAAACGACAACTTTTTACGCACAAAAATTCAAAATTCAGAACTGCATTATTCAACAAACAACATGCTTTAATAGTACGAATTTTAAAACAATATATAAACCAAATGCTGTGATATCAATGTTGGAAATAACACAGAATAACATATATCCTAAGGTAATCCCAAGATCATAGTCACCCATTGCAATCACATTTGTATATAAACGAACTACAATAAATTTACACAGCATAAATACGCCTTCTCCTTATCTTTGAAGCAAAAAATTGAATCTGGAAGAAAACCACGAAGAGTATTTTTCTTTTCCAATTTTAGAGAGAGAGAGAGAGAGTGTGTGTATTTTTCCTTTTGCGCATTTTTGAGTAACAGTGAGTAACCCTTACTAAAAGGAAAAACTTTTTTTTTTTTATATGGGAGCGGTTCGTGAGAAACTGCCTTTGGCAGTTTCCACTTCTCACGCCCCTTCATCATGAGTGTACTTATCCAATAATTAGTATTATTTTTTTGGGTTGATTAGCCTCATGTCTTTAATTGAAAACTGTAAAAGGGATTTGAATCTCAGAACTTAGGAATTTGAGTTAACAAATCCGGTTGGACTGATGGGTCGCTACAGTAAAACCGGGGTCAAAACGGGTTAATTCTCATTCTTGGTTTTCTACCTTGACCAGCCCGGTTAAGCCACCGACTCCCAGTCGAACCGGTTAAACTGGCCGGGTCGATCCAGATTTTAAAACCTTGATAGAAACATGTAATTTATTATTTAAAATTAGGATAGAGTGCAATTTGACTCTCCATATGTGGAGAGTTAAATTCACTCTTAATTTATATTTAAAGAATAAAGAGTTTATTGGACTTTTTTTTTTTTATAGATAAACTCTTTATAATAAAGAGTTTAAGTCATATAAAGAGTTCTTTAGAGATGCAGGGATAAAATGATAACTTTGGTTTTATAAGAAGTTTTATGAATTTTGTTTTCTTTTAAAAAAGAAAGGGTTTTTCAGTAAATCGTTTGTTTTAGTTTTTTGTGGTAAACACCCACTAGTTTAAGAAATGCTATCCTAACCCTCTTGTGATTTGTTTTTTTTTTTTTTTTTTTTTTTTTTTTTTTTTTTTTTTTTTTTAGTGACCACTCTTTGGTTTTGGAAATGTGGCCCTAAACCCTCGTGTGGTTAGTCTTTTTTTGTAGTGAGCACATGTTGGTTTTGGAAAGATCATCAATTCAACCTTCAAATTTATCAACAATTTCATCAATTTAGCTTTAAAAATATATATTAACCTCTTAACATTGTTTATAGGTTTTGAATGTTAGATTGATTAAACTTGGATGAATAATAAAAACGTCTCTTCCTCACAAACTTAAACATAATAACCTAACGATACGTAAAAAATGGAAGTTAGAATCGCATTTCTGAAATCAGTGGGTGCCACTACAAAAAAGGCCAAACTCATGTGTGTTAAAGTTGTATTTTTGAAACTAGTGGGTGTTAACTATAAAAAAGAACAAACACACTAGGGTTAAGGTTGTATTTATGAAACTAGTAGATGCTTACTACAGAAAAGGCGAAACACACGAGAGTTAAGGTTGCAATTCTGAAACCAATAAGTGCTCACTACGAAAAGGCCAAACACATAATAAGGGTTAAGATTGCATTTCTAAAACCAGCAAATGCTCACTACAATAAAAGGTAAACACATGGGGTTTTACTATTAAAAAAAAAAAACTCATAAAAGAAATAGTGTATAAATTTTGAAACTCAACCTTTCAATGAGAAGGATGTATATTTCAAAATCATTTTTAAGAGAGGTAATAAGATGATTTACTCATTTAATCCTAACAATAAAGTTAAAGAGTTAATGGCAAAGGGTCTCAATGATAGAGTTTTCAAACTTAGAGAATGCGGTTAATACTTAATAAGGCAAAGAGGTATTAGTAATACGGTTTCAAACTTTGAAGGTCTGTCTAAGACGGTAGTCCAGTGTTCTCCTTTCTACTCGACAAACTATAAGAAGGTAAAGCCAATGAAATAAGAGACTAGTCTGGTGACTTTAACGGCTCTGGTAAGATTACCGGGACAGGTAAACCATTGAATTGTTGGTCAACTCTCATTTTGACCATCAATCCAAATGCCCCTAAACAGAAGCTAACAAACGCAAACTAAATGCAACAATAGCCATGCTAACAAAATTGTCTATTTCAGCCAGTGAATTCAAAATCTTTTACTCAATCTCATACAGCAGGCTAATGCGACAGTAAATGAAATACAGACCATTGTTTATCAATTTTATAAACCAGACAGAATCAGCACCCACAAAAAAAAAAAAAAAATGACACTGGATAATACATCTGTTAAAAAAGTGAGGTTGTAGTATCTAACATCCTGATTCTTCAGCCTTGTATACCAAGAAAGTTTCAGTATCGAAATAATTTGACGCCAACGCCGTCCCGGATACACTAGGTTGAGAGAATGCTAACTTAGATTTTTCAAGAATAAATCCCGTGCAAAAACTTCTCCTGCATTTATAAGAAAGAAATAAGATAATATCCAAAGTAAACCAAATTGATTATTGCATAAGAAAAAGCAACCAAATCAAGCTTTTCATTCAACCACAAAGTATAGGCATCAAGTGCACTCTTGATGCAAGAAATTCTGAGGTCTTTTATAAAGTTCACCAATCAAATTTATTTAATACTATGTTACTAGGTTGCTAAATATTCTGGCTTTATTTGCGTTAAGTGGTATCATTAAAATTTTCAACTTTGAGGTGGCAAGATTGACCTTCGTATATGGATGACAATAAGGGCTTTATATAAATATTCATAAATATCAATCAGCCTTAGTAGGAGAAGAGTTCCCCAAATATCCAAAGAGATATATCAAGAACAAAGGAGATAATGATTGACAAAAGAATGTTTGGATTTACCTGACAGCATCCAGCAATTGAGTAGCAATGCCTTTTCTTCTGTTAGAAGGAGTGACCCATATGGCTCTGATGCCACAAACAGCAGGTATGGCTTCCTTTTCACAGACAATTGCTCCATTGTGATTTCCATTTAGTAGATCAGGACAATTAACAGAAGGGGTTCTTTTCATGACTTCCCTTTGTAATAAAATTTTCCCAAATTTGAGGGTGGTTGAGTTTGATCTCGTTTCTCTTGTGTTAGTGTCATCAGTTCTTTCGCCGACTAAGCATGATAGAACTTTGAATGCTTCTCTTATTGGTTCGGCAATTAGACAACCGGCAACCCTCTGAGAGGAAATAAACAGATACACCTGCAAAGAAAATTTATCAGAATGGTGTCAAAAAATCAATTTAACCCAAGCAACAGAACTGAAACTCCAGAAGTTATCAACTCTTAAAACTGAAGAATTTGGATTATATAGTAGCACTTTTACTTGAAAGCCAATAACAGCAACAAAATTTAGAAAAAGAATAGTGTCAGTCAGTTAATAAGGAATTAATAAGGAATGCTATTGGAAACAAACTTTGTGGAGACCAAAAGCCTATATTATATAGTATTCAAATATTATAAAGAACCATTTACAAAATTTTGGAGAAACTTTGGGTTATGGATAACTAGTTCATAAAATATTTCAACTGTGAATATAATCAGGATACCTTGCAGAGCTTATGAAAGATCCATCCTTCACCTAGTTCAATCTCCATCATCTTCACAACCTCCTGAACCTGCCAATCCAGTGGAATCACCATTAACATCCCCAACCAATATCAGCTGTACCACTTGTAAATCAATAAGAGCAGCTCCACCCATTAACCATGAATTAAAAATATTAAAATCAAAATGAAAAACTTAACCTTATTCCTCTGAGCAGGAGAGTCACAATCTAGCACCAAAACGATGTGCCCCCTTTCAACACTAGGCATATGAACTACCCGTTCGTTGCGCCAACCCTGATAAAATTACAACAACAATTTGATCAAACAGACATTAAAACAAATGAAACAAACAGAAGTGAGCACAAAGGATTCTAAAAATGAACCTTGAATTGAACCCCATGTGTGTAATTCTTGTGAAATGTCTTGTGATCCTTTTCATCTTCTTCATCACCAGCAGCATACTGGATTCCACATGTGGAACATATGTGAAGAAAAAAATCAGATTGGCCTAATTCTAGATGGAACTGTGCATAGCTTCTCTTCTTGTTTAGTGTTCTTCCACAAGCTGTCAACTGCGGTTTCAAACTCAAATCCAGTGATTCAGGCTGCTTCAATGTATCAAAATTTGAACTTTCATTTACCTCACTTCTTCCACCCTCAAATGGAGCCCTAAAATGAAAACCCCCGAAAAAGTAAGTAATCCCAAAGTCTTATAGTAATATAAACAGTAAATCTCTAGAGCCGAGAACAATCCAAAACCGGAAAGTATTGATTCTAAAACATCATATTTGACATTTCAATATTACAAGGTTTATGTTCTATATTAAAATTTATGTTGTTTCAAGTTTCACATTTAACGCTATCAAACATGCCCACTCTATATAAATTTCACTTCTTTTTTATTTTTTTTCTTTCAAAAAAAAAATTCAGAATCAATCCAAACTCATGTCAACAAATCAGAATTGACTCCATTAATTGAAGTTAAAAGGAGAAAACCACTAAACAAATATAGAATATCATTATTTAGAATTTAGATCATACAAACAATTGAAATTGCCACTCAAGTGAGCCAAATATAATTTATTGAGCACAATTAAAACCAAAAGCAACATAAAAAAAATTATAATGACAACATTAAATTTCTTTATTTAACTAAAATAAAGTATAATTCCAGTTCTTCAATTTTCCTCAATTTTCTAAGAAACCAAACAAAACCCAACTCACACCTACCAAACCAAGACAAAAACCCACAAGTAAACTACCGTAAAAAGTAAAATAAAATCCATACCCATCAAACTTTTTAGCTCTACGCTTGTAAGTATTGACAAATACATGCTGTTTCTTCTCCCAAATCGCCAATTCATCGTCTTCTTCCTCCGGAATCGGAGTTGGGTCTTGAGATTTTGGCTCAGGCAAACTAGAAGAAGAAGAAGAGGGCTTGAAGAAGGAATTGATTTTGGGTTGCATCAATGCTATGGTTTCGAGATTGATTCCTCGATTTTTTTTTTTTTTTGATTTTCGAATTTTTAGGGTTTTAAGTGTTTTGTTTTTACTTTCTTGGCGCCAATTATATTAAAAATAATAAAGTTTAAATAGTTTTCCCGCTAAATCTTACATTGAAACCCGGTAATTTTAGTTGAACCGGACTGGTTTTTTGGACCGGTCTGTTTAAAGCTCATCCCAGTAATATATTATAGTTTTGGGTGCCTTTGGATCAGGGTTGTAGAAGTTCTTGATGACGATAGTAAGAGTTTTTAAACTTTAGATTTATCTTACTTTTATCTGTTTAAATAAAGGGATAATCCTGGACCTAAGAGCATCAAGATATCCTAATAAAGTCTATATAACTAGACTGCTGTAACCTATGCTAAAGTAGAATATAATAACAAAAATTATCAGGTGTTTTCATCATGATTTCATGGTATCAGAGCCAGGTTCCTCTGGCTATACTAATGGTGAAAACTGCCATGACTGGTGAGAGAAAAGGCAAAAGCCAAAGTCCACTTGTTCGAGATTCATCCTCCAATCCTTCATCCCATGAAATTCCAGCCTCCTCAAATATGAGATCTGGACAACCAGAAATCCTATTTTCTTTAGGTAATAATGATAATAATTCAATCCAGATTAGTGTTCACAAACTGAATGGAAAGAATTATGTATCATGGTCTCAAGCGGTGAAGTTGATGGTTCGAGGAAGAGGTAAACTAGGCTACTTGACTGGCACGATTAAAGCCCCACAAGAAGATGATCTAACATACCAAAAATGGGATGTTGAGAATAGTACATTGATGGGATGGTTAATCAATTCCATGGAAGAGGAGATTGGTCAATTGTACCTGTTTGTTCCCATTGCAAAGGATATTTGGAAAGTTGCAAAGGAAACATACTCTGATGTGGGGAACTCAACACAGATATTTGAGTTGAAGTCTCGATTGAGAGAGACCAAACAAAGGAACATGACTGTAACTCAATACTATAGTGTTTTGGCTAAATTGTGGCAAGAGCTAGACTTGTTCTTTGAAGCAAATTAGAGTTGTTTTTTGGATACTGCCAAATACACAAAAATGTTAGAAAAAAAGAAGGTGTTTTAGTTCCTTGTAGGTTTGAATAAGGAACTAGATGAAGCAAGGGGTAAGGTCTTCGGAAAAGAATCTCAACCTTCTATAAGGGAAGTATTTGCAGAGGTTAGAAGAGAAGAAAGTAGGAGGAAAGTGAAGATGGGTGAATTAGTAGGATCCAACAGTTTAAGCACACCATCAAAGTCTTCAGCTTTGGTTTCAAAGGGTTGGGATAATCATACCAGGTCTAATGGAGAGTAGAGGATGCAAAAAAGAGGAGAAAAAGATAAAATTTGGTGTAAGTATTGTCATCGGCCAAAGCATACCAAGGCTACCTGCTGGAAACTACATGGCAGGCCAACCAATTGGAAGATTAATAAAGCTGGAGGCAAGGGATTTCATGTTGGGATAGAGGAATCTAGAGATTATCCAAGGTCTGTACCATTCAGCAAAGAACAGTTGGAACACTTATAGGAAATATTCAATCAGTCCAATTCTAGTTCTTCTAATCACTCCTATTCATTTGCTGAGACTGGTAATTCCCTCACAACTTTGCATACCAGTGAAGGAACAACCAGTTCTTGGGTTATAGATTCAAGGGCCTCGAATTATATGTCAGGTAACTCAAGTATGTTCATAACCTATAGCCCATGTTATGGTAATCTAAGGGTTAGAACAGCTAATGGTTCTTTATCAAAACTAGATGGTAAAGGGATTGTCAAACTATCTGAAAATCTTTGTCTACAATCTGTACTTCATGTGCCTAATCTGGCTTGTAATATCCTCTCTATTAGCAAATTGACTAAGGACTTAAACTGTGTAGTTAATTTTTCTTCTTCTCACTGTGAATTTCAGGACTCTCTCTTGGGCAAGATGATTGGCAATGCTAGAGAAAAAGGAGGATTCTACCATTTTGATGCCAAGGATTCTGAGAATAATCAAGCTATAATATCTAGGTGTAATTCTATCTCTATGTCCTGTAATTTAGAAATAATGTTGTGGCATCACCGATTTGGTCACCCTAGTTTCCCTTATTTATAAAGATTGTTTCCTGTGTATTCAGAAATAAAAATCCAGTATTATTTGAGTGTGAAATCTGCCAAATTGCAAGACATACTAGATCAATGATTCCAGCTAAACAATACAAGAGTTCTAGGGCTTTTTCTATAATTTATAGTGATATTTGGGGACCATCTAGAGTTAAAAATATTGTTGAATCAAAATGGTTTATTACTTTCACTGATGATCACACTAGACTATGTTAGGTTTACCTTATGAAAGAAAAATTGAAATAGGTAGAGTCTTCCAGAATATCCATTCCATGGTTAAGAATTAGTTTCACACACATATTCAAGTCCTAAGAACAGATAATGGTAGGAAGTACTTCCATTCTAGCCTGGGAAACTATTTGCTCAGTCATGAAATAATACACCAAAGTTCTTGTGTAGATAGCCCACAACAGAGTGGTACTGCAGAAAGGAAAAGAAGGCACCTTTTAGAGGTTGCCCAAGCACTTATGTTCACCATGAACATGCCTAATTATTTGTGGGGGGAAGGCAGTCCTGATAGCAACTTATTTGATAAATCGATTGTCTACTAAGATTTTAAAGTTCCGTACTCCTCTCTCCATGTTTCTTTAGACATTTCCTGATTTTAGAGCCTTAAACTCTCTACCTTTGAAAGTCTTTAGGTGTACTACCTTTGTTCATGTTCACTCTCATAATAGAGGCAAGTTAGATCGTAGGGCCATTAAGTGTGTGTTTGTAGGGTACTCTCCCAATCAACAAGGATATAAGTGTTATTGCCCTATAAGGAAGAAATTGTTTGTCTCTAAAGATGTGACCTTTTTTTTAGTCACAACCTTATTTTCCCAAACCCTCTCTTTAGGGGGAGAAATCACGGATTGATAATGAAGATAGTGTTTGGGAAATAACATTTCCCACAAGTTAGACTCCTACATCTACTTAGAATCCTACATCCACTCCAAGACCTCTGAATCAAAACTCACCTTTAACTCAAATTCAGCCTCTTACCAGTCCTAATTCCATCAGAATAGAAAATACTAGTCCTAATTCCATGAGAACATAAAATCTTGAAAACTCTACAGTAGAAGAGAATTTTGACACTTTGACTCAGGAACATATGAAAACAAGGGGAGGTTTGACTTGGCTAAATCAACCAGACCTCAAAGTTTATTCTCACAGTGAGAATCCTTCTGACGATCTACATGGCAAGTCATCCTAACCAAAAGAAGTCAATGAATCACAGCCTTAAGGTAAGAAAATTTTGCCTCCTAGTGAGTCTAAGTCGAATACTGATCTTCCTATAACTTTTAGGAAAGGGGTTAGGTCTTGTATTCTACATCCTATTCCTCATTTTGTGTCCTATGACAATTTATTTTCTAATTTTTGAGTATTTGCTACTAATCTCTCAACCATAGAGGTTCCTAAGTCAATACAGGAAGTATTTGTAACAACTACTGTAAACTAGTACAATGCATGCATAAAAACAATAGAAAATGGGCCCAAAACTTTTCTTTTTGTTATATGTAATAAGTCTTTTATACACAAAGAGCATCATTTACAAAAAGCCATTTAAAAAGACAAAAACAGGGGAAACAGTGTAGCTATTGCTCCTCGCTTGTCGACGTCCCTTCGACTGCATCATCACCTAGATCTTGCATCCACAAAGGAAAATAACGGGGTGAGCACAAAATAATGCTCAGTAAGTAAACTCTCTAACTGTTTATCCCCGTATGTATTTCTCTTAATTCTTTCCTCACACTTTCTGTTGTTTCCTACTAAACGTCATGGCCTTATCTTACCGGAGGTACGACCGAATTGTTAGTAAACGGTCCCGTATACGCAGCGGAAACAAAAATATTATAACAGGATCGTTTACATGAGCCAAGATCAAGGGTATGATTTTACAATTTATATTAAAATCTGCATAAATATTCAACATGAGTTAAGAGAAACAAACGCACGTTGAAGGCTCCTCCAAATTTGAAAATTTTTCGACGAACGTTTTCTACCGATCCAAGTGTAGGATCAAATCTGCGTAGTCCACACGAAGACAATCTCAAGACCAAAGAAGGATTTGCTAGATCCTCTTTGGCTTCAAGATTAGAAAAAACAAAATCATTGAATTGATTTTTAGGCTCAAAAGTTACTGCCGTGGGATGTTGATCAAGAGAGGGCTGCTGTGTGTTGTTTTCAAAGAGAAAAAAAAACCCTTAATTAAAAATCACACACTTTTCCTTTTATCTTAAAAAACAATTTGCCCTAATCCCATACGGAATAGGCTTGGGCTCCAACCCAAACGCCCCATGTTGCCAAACACTCCCAATTTGGTTTATTTTATTTTCCATCTTATCTCAATTAAAATCAATTAATATATATTTAAATATATATTAACATTAACATAATGATAATATATTAAATATGTGCGAACACATATTTAAACGTAATTTCACTTATTTAATTTTTTCTAACAAATTAAATAAAGGCTACGACCTCAGCAAATTTAATTGCACTGTGAAATATCAAAAAATACCCTTTCGCCTTAAAAGACGAAAACGCCCTTCTTCTCTTGCATCTTAAATTGTCTTCTATGTGTGTGACCCTTAGGCTCCTCATCATATCGGCAGTGTATAGTATTGCGATTAACACCAATTAATCGTCTCACTAATACACAGACCAGATTGGCCCCTAGCAAGGCATCATGGCCACCCGATAGATTCGGATTCAGCAAAGTAGCTACCTTCAACGATATGGTTACCGTGCAATTCGATCCTTTCATCATACGTTATCTCGATGAGACGAAGGCATAGAAATAGTGTCAACCTTCGGTTACTCTCGATATTATTATTCAGTTTCTGGACGAATGACCCGTATTATAAACTGGATAAGCAACAACTCATCCCACTTGGCCACAGTTTTAGTGTCATTGCCATATACTGAATTGTGCCGTGAGATAACTTTCTCCCGTACC